AAAATCAAATTGAAGTGATTCTTGGAAAAATTGAAACAACCAATAAAATTAAAAATATAGTAATATATCTTTTGAATAAAGAAGAAGTACAAAAAGCAAAAAAAAGTAAATCTAGGGAATACTGAAAATCACATTTATATGCAAGATGTGGTGAAACAGTTATTTAATGAATATGATAAATTGTGCAAATGGAAAATTTGGAATATTCCTCTATATGTAAAGAGAAATGATTTGATGTTACATTTTAATCATTTTAGAAAAGTGAAACAATTACATTTAACAAAAGACATGTGACAATTAGGTCATGTGGAATTTGAAAATGTGGAAGTCGCAGAAATATTATCAACAGAATGGTCAATTTGAATTAGAATGGATTGTTTAAGAATTACATCAGGTGATACTAGTTATGAAGAATTAAATAATAGAAATAAATATGTAGCAAAGTTAATCCAGTTATCTAGAGGAATGATAGCATTGGATATCAAAAAATTGTTAAAGATATCAAAGGTCATATAATTTATATTCCAAGAACTAGAGAAAGATATAAAAGGAAAAATTATGTGATTATTTTGTTTGATTCAGAAGAAGAAATGCAGAAATACCAGTATAGCACAATGAAATTAATGGAGAAAATTATAATTAGGATGGTTCCTATGATAATATCTCTTTGTTTCATTTGTAGTTTAGATTTACATAAAACAAAAGAATGTAATGTAAATAAATATCGTAAACAACTAGTTTTTAATAAAAAAGAAAAAATCAAACAATTTGATAATTTGTATAAAAAATATAAATCAAATTATTATTCCAATCTAATAAAAACTACCCAAACCAAAATACTTACACAGATATAGTTAAGAAGAAAGCTAATAATGTTGAAAAAGATATTAATAAGATAAAATTAAAGAACAACATGAAGAATTTGATGAATTTAATCAAAATATAATAGAAACAATGGATTTGTATACTGCACAAATTGAAGAGTTGCATGGGGGAATGGAAGAAGTAGCTAAAGTTCTGACAAATATAACAAAAAGACTTTTTGCCATTGAAAATTGTCTTGATGAATATAATCAAGTCTTGAAAAAAAATAATAATAAAGATAGAAAAGGAAAAGAAATAGAAATGAGAAAAGAAACAAATGATCCAAATGTATTAAAAACATTAGACAATATGTCTAAGGGATTAGCTGATCTGGTTAATATGATAAAAAGGTTAGGAACTAGAGTCTATGGTATAAGTAGATGTTGTTAATCTTGGTTTACCTTCTAAAGAAATCAAAGAAAACTAAGTGACTAGTAGTGTGAATTGTATTTATAGATTTTAAACACTATAACAACTAATTACAGCCGAACGGATATTACTATGAATAAAGTAATGATAAAAAGGATTTAGATAAGACGAATTTGGTCAAAAGAGATTAAGAGTGTGAGGTTTTATAGGGATTTACTAATTAACTATTGTTATAAGTCACAAAGACAACCAAGTTTCATCAAGAAACTAAACAAATTCACAAATAATTTAACCTAGATCACAAAGTAGGATTAAATTCTAAGTAACTATAATACCGAGATCATGAAGCAGGATATTATTAACCAATAATTACTCTTATCACCAAGAAGAGAGTAATAATAATAAGAATTGCCAAGATCACAAAGCAAGGCAAATATGAGAGGGTTTTTCACTAAGAAAGTTACAATATAAACTATATAATTCACCAAGAAAGATATCAGTTTATAAATAATATTTTTATTTCAGTTATTAGAATATTCAATTCTATGTCAACTGTTCCTTTGAGAGGAGCAGAAACAACTTCTATTTATACAAAATTGAGATCATATCGTGAACTATAATTATTAACTTCAAGAAAACTCAGGAAGTTTCCATAACATTCCAGTGTGATTACTAATACTGGAGGTAATTTATCTAGATATTTACCAGTAGCTACCAGAGGTATTTTACCTTGCATCGTGTAATATTACATATCTGAGATATTTTATCTCTATTACATAAATACTGAAAATGTGATACAAGAATATAAATATACTAAACTAAAAATAAATAAAATAATACATATATAAAATACTAATATAATAATAAAATAATAGTAAAAAAATAAGTTATGATAAGAATATACATATATAGAAAAAATAAAGAAACAGGATCAACAACATTTGGACCATTGTTACTATGAGTTTTCTCCACTTTTATAATTTCTTATTATTTTATTTTATTTTTATTTCTTATTTGTATTTATTTTATTAGTATATTTATTTTAGTATATTTAGTATATTTAGTTATTAGTATTTATTTATTTAGTAGTGTAATACAAATTATGTAAATCAATAATGTAGATCATAGTGGTTTAGTTATTGACCAATTTACTGATTAATTTAGTGACCAACTGATTGATCAACTTAGTGTCAACTAATTGGCACAATTACTGATCAGATTTTGGCCAACTTACTGACCAACTTATTGGCCAAATCAAATATTATAAAAAGAGTGAGTTTTCTCTTCACTCCAAGGAAGATTTAAATAACTTTCAAATAAGATTTGAATAATAATTTTTTTATAATTCTAAAATAATTGAATTATTAATTTTTTTCATAATAGACTTATACCTTTTATATTAAAACTCTGTTCTTTTTATTAATTTATATTCTTCGAATATAAATTCTGATCCATAAATTTCTGTTACTATTTTATAAACCATTGATAAATATATTTATTCTTTGTTTTAATTTCTTAAATTGACCTTTAAAATTTAATCATTAATCAATATTTAAATCCCGTGATTCTAAATTCTTAAGTCTTTTAATTAGTTTTTAGTATTTAACTTAATATTTCTTTTATTTTTCTTCTATTATCCTCTTTAATTTGTAAACCAAAGTAACTGTTTACAAGTTACTAGTTGTAAATTACCTTTTGGAAAATAAAATTAGCTCAAAAGGTTGACCAGTAATAATTTGATACCTTTTAGTAGAAACAAATCAAAATTTTTATAATTGTCCTATTCCTTATTTTGATAATTCCAATATAGTATTCTATAATTTATCCCCTTTTAGTCAGTTACCTTTTAATGCAAAGATCTTAGTTAGTTAGTTATAATCTTAGTTAATCATTTTTTTACCCTTTTTAACATTAGTAATTTATTTCTATGATTAACACTAAGTAAGTTAAAGAGCTTGACAAAATTATCAAAGAAATAGCTAAACTTTATTAACAAAAGATAAAAGCAATAGTTAATTAAAATACCTGAAACTGAGGACCCTGTTTGGAAATTAGAAGCCCTTGAAGAATTACGCAAAATTAAGAAACAGTTAAACTTACTCTTCTGAATTTGAAACAATTGTTATAAAATTTTGGACAACTTAAACCTTTTGAAAGATACTTTTTGTCTATTAAATTAATCTTTCCAATAAATAATCTGCAGTTTTGAGTCACCAACCATCAACTGAATCTCTTATCACTTACATTATCAAAAAGTTACAACAGGTACATTCAAACACTCTGGTTGGTTTTTCACAAACTGTTTATACACTATAACTACTCTCCACAGTGATATCACCACAAGATTCTTGATTATTGTCTCCTGAGGATAAAAAGACTTAGTTTAATAATTCCTTAACTACTTCTATAGTTAGTTCCTCTGTAAACTCTACTTCATCTGGAAAAAAAAGAAAAACTACCATTCCTAAATCACCAGTACGAACATCTCAAAATATTAAACAAAAGCAAAAGTCAAGTATCTCTAATCAAAATATAAATGAAAGTTTCTTGTCTGCAGTTAATATATATCTACTACTATTTTCAGCTACTATAAAGCTATTAGAGAAAGAAAAAGATTTTAAAACTACTACCATTAGCTTTTTCACTTCAAATATAACTAAACTACCTAAGTTAACCTTACTATACCCTTTCCCATTGTCCATTGTATTTTTTCTCTAGTCAATCAAGTATAGTTCCAATTCAAGTAAACCTTAATACTTGAACAACTAATTTAGCATAACAGATTAAAGTAGAAGACTATTTTGGATCTCGTAAATTAAAAGTAACTACTTCAGATAATATATATTTATCAAATAAATCGTCTTCATATTCTAGAGACCGAGTGTATCTAAGAAAACAACAAACGCTATCAACTAAATCTAGTAGTTTCAGACTTTCAGTTAGAACTTCTAAACAAAAACAGAAAAAAAAAGAGAAATCTGTTGAACACTCTCTTACTATTAGTTATTTGGATAATATCAATTATAACAGTAATAGTAGTGATAGTAATAATAGTGACGACAACATGACGTTGTTATCAGTGGTTCCTGGTTTTCTCAAGAACCACCTGAGTAGTGTGACTTAACGGTTCTTTTAAGGAGTTTATAGTCTTTTCCCATAGGTAAGATTGTTGTTTCATCTTTTAGAAGGTACCACTGATTCAATTATTTTAGAAAGGGAATCAGACCTTTCATTTGATTTATTCTAATATCTTTTCCAAGTGTAACTAATCTACTAATTCGTTTTAGAAAATAAATATCAACAAATATTTATTAGCGAAGTTTGTGGTTTATAATTAAATTATT